AAAAAAAAAAAAAAAAAAAAAAAAATAATAATAATAAACAAACAAACAAAATTAATAGATATTGTTTTCTGTGAATTCATGGACAAGTCTCGAATCATTTTGGAATGGTATATATATCACATATTCTGGAATTGAGTGTTGGCCCACTTCAAAGTCTTCACATTTAGATAATAATAAAAAAAAAATAATGATAAAAAAAAAATTGTTTATTATTATTTTAGTATAATAAATGTGAGGGTAAATTTAAGAAAATAATAATTATTAGAACATTTTAATTGTTGGTTGGGTAAAAAGAAAAAGGGGAATAAAAAAGAATTATTCTAAAAACAACGGAAATAATAGGAAAAAGAGGCTGCCTTGTCCTGCAAAGCCCAAACCCTAATGTTTCTAAATGCTATAAATACATGCGTCCAGACTCAAACTTCATATCCACCGCCGACCCAGTGTTGGTTTTTCATGTCTCTTTCTTGCATTCACGTACCTACCTCTTACCTTCAATCCTTCGAGTTCGGAATTTTGAACCCTAATTTCGTGTTCTTCGTTGATATCTGATAAAAATTCTGATCTACAACGCGGCCAGTTCTTTCTTCTCGTTTCTTGTTTTGATTTCTTCTAATTTTGTTACATTTCCTACGGATTTCTTCTCAATTTTTCTGGTTCCACTGTGGATTCAGATCGAGCGATTGTTCTCTGTTCCACGAATGGTTTTTGTTTACTTGATGTTCTGCGTTTTTTTATTCGAACGATACAGATGCATCTTATTTACCCTCTTCTTGATATCGTAATGAAAAGATCAAGGGGATAAAATAGGTGCAAATATCGAAAGGTTGGCTTACCAGCCCATTTCATATTGATCTTTGTCTTGGAGTCAAATGGACCTACCGAAATTCTAAATACCTTGTTTATCGTTTGTGTCTTTTATTTTGATTTCGTGAACTATTTCTTCGTTCGAATGGCATATGATGAACACATCATTTTCGTTTATTGATATACTGATGTTCCGTGCTGACTCAACTCCGCTTATTATCTGATGCCATTAATGCTTTTCTTTCGTTTATATTTCATAAGATTTATTTATTTGATCAAGTTTTTTGCGATTTTACAACCAATGAAATTGTTTGAGGAAGGCAAATGATGCATACATTGTTTGAGGCATCATAAATTTGTTTTGATTTCGTCAACTATTTCTTCGTTTGAATGGCATGTGATGAACACATCATTTTCGCTTATTGATATACTGATGTTCCGTGCTGACTCAACTCGCTTATTATCTGATGCCATTAATGCTTTTCTTTCGTTTATTTTTCTTAAGACTTATTTATTTGATCAAGTTTTTGGGATTTTACAACCAATGAAATTGTTTGAAGCAGGCAAATGATGCATACAAATTCTTATCCTACACACTGAAGTTAATGTGGACTGCATCTCCGCTTATTATCTGATGCCTTGCCATGAGAATATAAAATGCGATCGTTTCCCGATTATCCAAAGTTACGTTTTCTAAATTGAATTAGCGAGTGGCCTAGTAATTATATTATTTGTTCGTTCTTTTTAAGTAGTCTTTGTTAAATTAGTCAATTGTTCAACCATCATTCTTATCCGTCTATGAATTGCAATGACCAATGAGGAGAAAAAGCAGACGGGCGGTCTGAACTGATGCCGTGTTGATTGTCTGCACTCCCCTCTTGTGGGTTCCTGATGGTTAAGCATTCAATAAATTTTATTTTTGTAGCTTTTCTCTATGGATTTGTTGATAATGTGAATGGTCAAGTGAGTTTAATTTGTTTTGGCTATGATGATGTTTTGCCTCTATTTATGTCTGGACATATGAGAATTGTCTATGATTAATTTGTGCATTCGTCTGAGCTGGGTTGTAATTGATTTTTCGAACTATGTCCTTCCTTCGTCACTTCGGTTTTTAGCATTCCTTCGATTTTATCAATTTGCTGTTCGTATTTTAATAATTTGCATATGTTAGTTGGTGCATTATATTTCAGTAGTTATCCAGCTCGAATATTTGGTGATTCAATATCCTACCCAGGCTTTGTGGCGTTCTGAGTTTAATTGATAGCGAGACCGTTACATTTCTACTGGCGCAAAGTCGACATTGACGTAGGCTGATTCTGGTGGTTCTTAAATTTACCCTTAATGGATGTACGTTGTGAATTAAGTTAATTATATACGTTGTTAATTCCCCAATTAAATATCCCTTGTATTGATGTGTTTGGTATATATTTCAAATTTTTTATATTTTTTTACAGTTCGTATATTAATAATTTGCATATAATAATGATTAAATGGTTCAAAATATGTAACTGCGCTAATTTAGTTGTAACAAAATAAAGCGAAAGATTGAATATGAAGTTATTGTTCATTAATTTATCTTTTTTAGCCCAAGTATTTAGCGATTAGTTATTATCTAATAATTTATTGATTATATGAACCGGTCTTCAATTTGTTTGTGGATGTACTTGTGATAAAATTTGTTATTACTTCTCAATTATTAAAATTTGTTATTTACAAACCGTAAAGACAGGCTAGCATGATGCACCTTTATGAAGTCCAAACCTTCTAAACAAGTTTAGAAACCGCAAAATCGTGGGAGTCATCTTATCCGAAGAGAAGATAAACTTTAAAGGATAGCATTTGCCTTTATGAAGTTGAAACAATTTTAAAAAAAAAACTTTGAAAAAGGAAAATCGTGCATTGTGAATTGAGAGGCCTCCAATTTCGTCTTATCCCAAAAAAGGAACTATTTTTCAGTCCAATTTTGATCTCTTGTTAATATGAAAAATCCATCCGTGTATTTGATTCTTCAAATAAAGTAAAAAAAAGAATTGCGCATCCGGGGAATCGAACCCCGGTCAGTACCGTGGGAGGGTACTATGATACCACTACACTAGATGCGCTGGATATTTCTTGTCGTACCTATTATTTTAGTATAATTATTTTGTTTTTCCACCAAAAAAACAAAAATTTCCGTTGCCGGGAATCGAACCCGGGTCTCCTGGGTGAAAGCCAGATATCCTAACCGCTGGACGACAACGGAAGTTACGTTTAAGAACAATATACATTTTATTCAATCATAAAATCATAAGCGCGCCCATAGCAATTGAAATAAATTTAAATGCCTTTTTGTATTTTCGCGTGGATGTGAAACTGATTGAGATGTTTCTAATATTATTTAATAATTTATTTACGAAGATACGAGAAGTGTGGTTTCAAGTTGTATGAATAAAAAAGTTGGACGGTTTCCTAAACAGAGTTGCAGAAAGAATGAAATAAAAAAACATTTGTTCCTGTTTGTTTCTAAAGAATTTGAGCTACTTAAAATTTGCAGCACCAAATCTTGCTCCATTACAGCTGCAGCAGCTGGCTGCTCCAGATGGGAGGAGCACACTGGACAGCCCATTCAGCATTCTGAATTCACAAACTGTAGAAACTTCCATTTTCCACTCTCACCATCATACCATACAGCTTTTGGTTTTGCACAGTTTTTGAACTCCACCTGTTGGAAGTGCTCTTGCATCCACTGTGGTCAGTATTTGAGGTACTGACAGCCCTCCAGATATCACAATTTCTGCACCCAAACAAAGGAACATCCAACCCCATGTTCATACTAACCACATTGCAACAGATTCTCAACATTCTACTACACTTCAGTTTAGATAATTAACATAAGGTCTACTAATATCAACTGATCATAATCATTAAGATATAGACTCGTACTTGTCGCCAAATACATGAACTAATTATTTGTGAGATCCTATATTGGTCGGAGAGGATAACAAAACATTTTTTTATAAGGGTGTGAAAACCTCTCCTTGTCAGAATTGTTTTAATAACATTGAGGGGAAGTTCTAAAGGAAATGTCTAAAGATGACAATATTAGGTAATTTAGATGGACTATGCTCGTATGAGACGGTTAATTTCATGTTTGAGTGGGAGAGATCATACCAATTCCTTCTCGGACAGACAGATTTGGCCTCAGGATGTCCTTGGAACTCATAAGAACTACGTCTCCAAGATAGAGATGATTGGTGGGCACATAAACACAATAGAGTTCTTCCTCTTCCATTCTGCTCTGAAGAATAACGGAGGAAGTGATGAATCCAAAAGCATATTCTCCTGAACGAGGGTGCCTGATGATTGCTACTTCCTTGAAGGCATTTGAAGTTTGATCTGAGGAAGATTATCAAATAGTCAAATACGATTATCAAATTAAATTAGTAAAGATTTCAATGCTTTTTTACCTGGTGATATTGCAATACTAATTTGCTTCGAGGCCGTGTATATATAGCTTACAAATGGCATTTTCTTAATAAACCATTCACCAAGAGTAAGAACAGAAGCTCCCAACCAAGATGACATGAAAATACCAACGAGGAAGATGAATGTGATGGAGGTAATAAACCCAAGCCCTGCAGAAATTTCTACCCAAAATCAACTGCGGAAAATTCCTTTTAAAAGTTGTTTTTCTGCTGTTTTGGGGGAAGATTACCTCTTCAACTTACCAAAAATATTGATCCCCAAATGATGATATATGGGAGAGAAGAAACCATCAACAAAACGAATGAATCCCCACGTGATATAAAATGTAATAGCGATTGGTAGAAGAATTACACTGCAAACAAAGCCCTAAATGCTAAGAATCAACACATACTCTATTAACACAATTAACTCTTGTTCTTGAAGTATACCAGAGAAAACTGTCACCAAACAAACTCCGTATGTTAGAGTCTATCAGTTATCTCGTAATTACACAACAAAAATGGAATAAATCCATAAACACCACCAGAAATGCTCGGGATAAAGAAAAGATGCATTTATTCTACAAAAATTTGAAAGAACACTAGAAGATTTTACCATCCTGTCATGAACTTCTTTGACGCCCAGCTACGAATGACTTTAGCAAATGCCTAGAATATCCATGAACCGAAACTTTAGTGTTCAACGGTTGATGAATGAAACCAGTATAGAGTACAAAAAAGCGTCGTGTTCATCGATAATCCACTCGACTCGGTGAATCTAGCACTCTCATACATAGTTAACTCGATTTCAACCATTACAGAGTAAGAAACCGCTGACGAAAATCGGAAGAACAATCTCGGATACAAATATAATCAAATTTAGGGGCGAAAAAGATCAACGTTAAGCAAGAAAAATGAAGCGAAAACGGACCTCACGGCCGGAGTGATGATGAGATAAAGCGGCGGTGGGTACGGAGGAAGATTTGGAGGCTCCATTTTCAGAAACTGTAGCCACTGGGATCAATAGCTCTAGATCTCTTTCCCTCTCTCTTGTACCCATTTTTTCCTTCTCTTTATCTTTCTCTCTCTACTTCGATTCCGGAATCACATTTTTGGGTGTTTTTTGCACTCACCTTCTTCTCTCCCCCGACGTTAACGAACTATTCGGAACTTCCAACCGTTTTTCATTTCAATTTATAGATCATGTTGGACGAGATGAAGTTCCGGCAAATTGAAGTTCCGACAAATTTAAGGAATAATCATTGATTATAAATCAATAAATAATAAATACTCATGGAAGTCCAAACCAAATCAAAATTATTAGAATTTATATTTAAAAGTGGACAATATCTTATCATTGTTTTGAGTTCTAAAAGATTGGACCCGAATTTTATTAATAAAAATAATTCCTTTAATTTTTGAAATTAAAGATTTATTTTTTTTAAATACCTAAAAAATAATTTATTTTAACGAAATAATATACAAGTCAGTTCCATGACACATAATTACAATTTACAACGGAAAATATACATAATTATTTGAAAAATTCAAAACCATAAGAAAATATACATATTTAATGAGCTGGAAATTGGAATATGGATATTCATAATAATCCCGTTATTCTCGTTGCATCACGTGCTCCCACCAGGATAATTGCAGCCATTGTAGCCTGCAACAAAATCAATAAAATAAAAATTAAAAAAAATAAAAAATAAAAAATTTGAAAATGAAGATTCATAATGGCTTTGATTCTCACTTGGATTGTTGGAGGAAAGAGTGGCAGACTGGGAGAAGTCACAGGTCCATGGATATCGACCGGCGGTCTGGTAGAAGAGGTTCATGGCGTAGGTGGCGTGTGCGACGATGGTGTTTGGCTCGAAACAGGCGCCGCCGGTTTGAATGGCGCTGCAATCGATCCCTCTGCCGCAGGCGTAGTCCAAGTTGGCTTGAAGCTGGGCGTTTGATACGCCGCCCTTAGGCACGCACCATAAGCCTCCTCCTGCCTTTGGTGCTTTTGCTGATGGATTTGCTGGGGACGATGGCGTCGTCACAGGTGTTTTAGGAGCAGCTGGAGTGTTCTACACTTCGTTTCACAATAATTAGAAAAGTTCTCTTAATATTCTTAAAAAAAGAAAGGAAATTTATTAGTCAACTTAACAGTTTAGTTAAGATCTTAGTCAACCATGTGCTCGTTCTTTTATGTCTAATATGCTATATACCAATGTCGAGAATATACTTAACCTGTTCAACAATGTTCTACTTAACAACTCACCCATCAGTTTATCTTTCAGGCCGAGAATATACTTAACGTGTTCAACGTCCTACATAGCAATTCACCCATCAACTAATCCTTCAAAATTTAGGCCAAGAATATTCTTAATTTGTTTGACAAAACTCTACTTACGGATATTTAGCAACTCACTGTTAAAAATTACGACTCTTATAATGGTATGCTCTTTTAAGCATAAGCTCTCGTAATATTTATGCCTCGTATGAATGGAGTTAGTATTTCTCACCTCTAAACCCATAATCTTCCACTACATTAACTAACTTGGGACTCACTCTCAATAATTCTCTCTACTCACCCATCACCTAATCCTTGAATCGATTAATTATATTGACAACTCGTATTACCATCAAAGCCTAGCAATTGATTTAGGCATATATTCTTGAAAAAAGATGTCGAGATTTGAATTTCCGCCCCACCCGATGTGTTTTTATAAACTAACAAAGAAAACCCTTTTAAATGTAAAGCAAAAACTAAACACTACAGAGGATTAATTGGGGGTTTCTCTGTTACCTGGCCATGTTTCAAAAGACCAATGTCGTAAGTCATGGTAAGATCAGGCTTGAACAGGCCGAAAGCTCTCTCAGAACCAGGCCCAGGCTTCAAATCTTCGTCGTACAGCGCAAACAGATATGTATCCACTGATTTTCCCGGCATCAATGGCGTCCCAACCATGGATCGTAGGTGCGCGATGAGATTACCGTTGAATGCCTTCGCATTCTCGACACTCGGACCAACCTCGTTGCCGTCGCCTTTGTACGGCCAGCCAGTCTCCGCAACCACAATCTCTACGTTCTTGAATCCCATGGAGTTCAACGCAGATCTTATGGCATCCACCTGATATAAACTTAAAATAAATATTAATTTCATGAAATTAACCAATGTCCTATAAATGTTATTATTTATTTGATCTTAAATATATCATTAAAATCATTTTCACTCACTATTTATTTTCATTGTAATGTCAATTTATTTGAAAAAAATATTTTTTCCAATGTGTACGGGCGTAATTAAATCCTACTGGAAAATCGATATATAAATAGCTGAAAATCCCAAGAACAAACAAATCAGAACAGGCTCGAAGATCGATGAACTCACCTGAGCGTCGAACATGTTCATGTATTTGATATTGGTGTTCGTGTCGAGGCGGCCGGCGTTGGGCTGGAAAAGACAGAAGGCCAAAGTCTCCGGCCGCGGATCGCTCCGGTAGGCGAAGTATGGGTATGGGTTAATAGTGAATGGGGATCCAGTGGCATTGTTGAACTCCAATAGCTCCTTCAACACGCTCATATAGTTCGGGTGGAAGAGCGCCGACGACGGCGGCTCTGACTGGCGGAGCACCGCCATGGAATGCACAGTGGAAACCTTAATATCACCCAGAGACATCGAATTGAGAGCGTTATGAAGGTTCTGAATTGCCGGCACGAGCTGATTCATTAGATTTTGATCATTGGAGGTTATCACCTCGTTCCCGACCGTGATGAGGATGATTTTGCTCGCTGGAGAGAAGGGGGCTACATTGGCGTTAACCCAATTTTTGGCGAAATTCGGGTCGGATGCTAGGGCTGGAATGTCACCGTTCGCAGCGCCGATTACAATTCCGATCCCTGTGTTTGCTAGGGCTTTGATGATTGCCGGATCCGCACCATATAGTCGAACTTTCTCGATTGAAGTGGATTGAAGCAGCTTCGCCGTCGCTGATGGCGGAGGAAGGTTATCGGCGACTTCACCGTAATTGATTCCGATGAACGATTGCGAATCTGAACAACAAAGCATTTCAAATCAAAAATTCCGCTGGCGCAATGATAATTTCAAGGTAATCAAAAAATTCTTTCAATTCCTTTTTCGAAGATTTACCATCCTCTTTCTTTGTTTCAATTTCTTTCCCCTGTTCTAGAATCTCATCACAATCACAATCAATGTTCCTAAAGATTGACGCAACGAAAAAATTCACGAAGAAACCAATTCAAATTCTAAATAAACATTTCCAGAAAACCAGATTTGTAGATTACATGCACACAAAATGGTAGATCAAACCAAGCGGCCGAAGTTGATAAAAGATTCACAGATAACAAAAAATGAAAAATTAAGAACAGAAACTTACCGGCGATGTTAAAAATCAGCAGAAAGTAAACGAAGAAGAAAACAGTGGAACGAAGAAGAGCGGTAGCCATGGCTGTTGAATTGAAAGCTTGTAATATGTTTGAGGCGGGACGCAGAGGAATGAGAAGTTAAATAAGTGAAAGGGAAGAGGACAGGGGTAATATTGTAAAATGGATAGTCAGTGGGCCCACTACCTTTCTGAAAAACGGGCTGCCCGACGAGGGCAGTAAATAATGAATTGCACCGTTAAGAGAAGTGGAAGTGGAATGGAAGCTGGCGGGAGTCGTGGAGGGCTTTGCTCGACTAACGTCGATGTTATATAATAATCAATGAAAAATTAAAAAAATAAAATAAAATAAAATTATTGTCCATGTTTTTGTGAATGACCGAAATGCCCTTTTTTTCTTGACCGTTGCCCAACTTGCATTTGCAATTGAATTTGTGGGCCGAAAATTAAATAAACACTTTTTTACAATTAAGATTTTTTTTTTTTTTTTTTACTTTTTACTTTTTACTTTTCAATTTAATGTATAAGTAGGAGTTTCTACTTTTCACCTATAAATAAACTTATTTATATTATAAAAATAAAATGAAAAGTTAATCTACTTTGTTTAGTTTTTAAGTAATTTTTTTTTATCAATAGTAACAAAATGTCAACCTTAGAAAGTTTATTGCGAAATAGATTTGGAATCGAAGATTCATTCACAATCATAACTTATACAAGCTACCAATTAATATTAAAAAAAATGTAAACTAATTAAATATTAAGAATAAAATAAAATATATTACAAGTCAAATCAGAGAAAAAAAATATTAAGATATATTTCATAATTCTCCGAATATTACATCTCAACCTTTATATATCTAGCAATAAAATAAATTAAATCATGAAATATCTAAAAAAAAAAACAAAAAAAAAAAAAAAAAAAAAAAAAAAAAAAAAAAAAAAAA